CGTCATAAATAAAATCTTTGAAACAGCTTAATGAACTATGTTGTAAAATCTAATAAATGAGAAATTGAGGGGGGTCGAAGCAAAGAGATAGCTCAGCTTCCGTTTCGCACGTGCCCTTAGACGGAAGCCGAGCAAAAGCATATTCCTCCTTCCGTGCTCTTCAGTAAGGAAAGGAAGAAAAATCAATTGCAGCAAGTTTATAAGGTATAAAGTTGAAAACGATAAAGACTGAGAGGTTTAAGAATGCTAAAAAAAATGCTAAAGTAAACCTGACTTCCAGTTAAAATGAAGTACGTGCATGTCTAAAGGGGTGCATCGTAATGATTGCACGATTATAAAATTCTTTACGTAGAACAATGCACTTCATTCATGATGCACCAGGCATACGACTTTCACTCAAATTCTGAGTGGAAAGTCTCGCCTTGGCTCATGATGAAACGCCAATGTGAAAGTCAGTATTTATCCTCCAAAATAAGTGTTACCAGTTCGTCGATCCCAGACCTGGAAGCCCTAAAAGGACAGGAGTTTATCCGAAATTCGATTCCCGGACCAGTTCCATGAGTAAGTGGCACCGTTTACCCCCACACTATCTGCGTTCTTTCATGATTATAAGCTGGAGAAAACAAAAATGGGTGTTCATCCTCAAAACGATTCAAGAATTTGCGCAATCAATAGCAGCTTGAAGATCATAATCATCCTCTAGGTTCCCAATAACTTGTACATGTTATGATCAGCACGGAGGTAGAAGTTTTTGCACCATACAATAAACACCACTATTACACCATACTTTGATCAGGTCACATTTTGGGACTTCCAAAGAACCTTTGTCTAGCGCAAATGGAAATCCCTCACAAACTCAATTCAGCGCTGAATCTAGAACAAGATCTGGATTTTAGAAAGAACGTGGTCAAAAAGATGCTTCTAAAACAGAAATCCAAAGAAAATCGTAACCTTGGTATATCCGTTGTAGTGTACTCGAGATGATCATCATGTCGTTTTGGATTGCTTTAGCCCAATTTTCCACGTCACCGATTTCCTGAGTATGGTATACAGCTTAGGCTATGGGTGAGAACGAGATTATGTACAGCTTTCAACGAATTACTGAGTAAAGGATATGGACGTGGAAAGCGCACTCTCATAACAACAGAAGCTCATAGTGGAGAAGAGAAGGAAAAAATATTTCCAAACGCCGGCACATCATCGTTGGGTTCTGCAACGGGGTAGGGACTTTTTCATGATTATTTCTGCCACTGCATGCGGCTTCATGCGACTCGCCGCATATCGGTCTTAGGTTTACGATGTTTTCATTTTTTCTGTGAGGGACGATAGTCGATCGGATGTCCGGTAATCCGTTGCTACTCGAGGGATGGAAGGAGAGAGGGGGATCGCATGTTGAGATGAGCATTGCCACATAACTTGCCACCCGGCCTCCTAATGTCTTGAATTCAGGATTCAACGGAGAACCGCAAGAGAACTAAGACGTCTTTTAATGACGCGATGTGCGTTGGTTATCCCTTGAGTTGCGTGATTCAAGTGACTCGCGTTAAGCAACCATTGCTCTGGACTTGCTTGGCTTAGAGCGGCCAGCGTTGTTGTCAGAATCAGTTTTGCTGGGGTCAACATCGCAATTGAACGTTTGTTGAATTCGCGCATTACGCATGGGAGTGCTTGTCTATGCTTGTGAAACTCCTGATAAGTCGGTTTCACGGAGGAAGTTAGTGGGATATGCCTTGTAGCAGGGTATCTGTACATCATATGTAAGTTTTTCAAAATGTATTTTGAGGTGTGTATAGTGACACGTGATGCGCTTACCCATGTAACGCCACGTCTGGGAGCCAGGATAACTGGAAGGCGGACTCTTGTGCTGCCCAGACGTGATATTAGGACCTTTCTCTCCAGCCGAGGCGAAAGTCGATAAGTAAGTACAGACGAGTGTCTGCACGGGATCGCCCTGGGCACTGCTGCCAAGCACACTAGATGCCAGGTTATTAAATTCAACAAAACGTTGCGTGGAGGGTATTTTACGTCTGCCAGCACGGTTTTCAGGCTGGAAGTTAGAATGAGTGTCGCATCACACAAAAAGGGACAGTGGTGAAGGAAATAACCATCTAGGTTCCGCACAGGGATAGCGAGTGGTTAGAGTGTAGACTCATAATCTCACCTCTGAGCCACGCGTATGTCGATCCCTGGCCGAGGGAGCACAGACACCTGCCCTCAAAAATTGCAAAATGGGAGCGATACCAGCGTCTATGGCGCCAAGGTTGTACACAAGCCCCGGCTGATGGATGATACGTTTCACAACAACCATGAAAAAGTTCGCATAGACACTCAAGTGTAGAACAGCTAGGACGTCACCGGAAAGTAAGCAGGCGCAGTCAATCCCTCTAAAGCAAAACGAGTTAATGTGGTGTGGTCAGTTGCGAGGGCTACCGAGGGGTGAACGACCTCGGCCAAAGAAGCTAGTTCGAATTGGGACCCTGAACGTGGGGTCGCTTACCGGGAAGTCTCGTGAGGTTGCCGACCTCATGAGACGCAGGAATATCCAAGTCCTATGCCTGCAGGAAACGCGATGGAAGGGTGCGAAGGCCCGCGAGATCGGAGAAGGTGTTAAACTCTTCTACAATGGAGCAGACACCAAACGGAATGGCGTTGCCATAGCGGTGGCAGAATCCCTCAAGGACTGCGTCTCCACTGTGAACAGGATCAGTGACCGGATCATGGGAGTGAGAATGGACACGAAGGAGGGGTACTGGACAGTACTGACCGTGTACGCACCACAATCCGGTTGCTCTGAAGCCGAAAAGGATGAGTTCTACCTGACCCTGGACGAGGCCATAAGATCGGTTCCGGAAGAGGACTATCTCACCATAGCTGGAGATCTGAATGGCCATGTTGGGAGGGACAGAAGGGGTCTAGAAAGGCCTCCCTCACGCCGATAGGGCCAAGAATGCTGAGGGAGGACGAAATCCTCGAACCTAGCAACACCTACAGCAGCACTTAGCAAATTCTGCTATGCAGCCTCTCTTCGGCGAAAGGAACAGGACAGCCAAAAAGTGTACCTACAGCAGTGGAGGGAGACAAACGGAAATCGACCATGTCCTGGTCAGAAGATCGTCTCTCAAAACCGTCAAGGATATCAAGGTACTGCCTGGGGAAGAGCTGGGCCCTCAGCACAGGCCTCTCCTGGCAGACATCGCCATAGACCTCCCCAAGAAGACGAGGGTGAGAGCAGAGCGGAGAATTCGGTGGTGGAAAATGGGCAGGGTAGAAAAGGATAGCCTTGGCCGAAGAATACTGGAGGCTGGGCTCCCAGACCCACATGGGCCAGTCCAGGACACCTGGACCTACGCAGCAGAGGTCATCCTACAGTGTGCAAGGGAGGTCCTGGGAGAGACGCGAGGTGGTATCAGAGGAGACAAGGCAGCCTGGTTCTGGAACGAGGAAGTCCAGAGGATCGTCAAGCAGAAGAAGGAAGCCTACAAACGCTGGCAAAAGACACGGAGCCCAGAAGACTACGCTGCCTACAAGAGCTGCAAGCGACTCGCTAAGGCGGCCGTTGCTAAGGCCAAGAATACGGAAATGGACGCCCTGTACGACAAGCTGGAAGGCCCCCGAGAAAGGGAACTAAGTTCGTCTTCGCGCCTGCTAAAGCTTCTGGCATGCGCGCAGTCTCAGGACATCAGGGTCGTAAAGACTGTGAAGAGCAGCAACGGGGCCATTCTCAGGAAACCAGCCGAAGTCAGGAAGAGGTGGGAAGAATACTTCGAGGGACTTCTGAACGAAGAATTCCCTCGCAAGGATAGCCCACAGATAGAGGCGACGGCAGGTCCCATCACTCCCTGGACGAAGGATGAAGTTCGCCGGGAGCTAGGGAGAATGAAAGCTGGGAAAGCAGTGGGTCCAGACGGGGTACCGATAGAGGCATGGAAGGCCCTGGGAGAGCATGGGGTGAGTTGGCTCACAGACTTCCTAAACAACGTAACAGCTGGAGGATGCCAGATGCGTGAGGACCACAGATCTTCCCCATCTTCAAGCAGAAAGGGGAGCGACGGAGTGCTCGCAG